CGTCAGAATGGGTATTCTATGGACTTTGTGTGGACTTTGTTCCTGTGACATCAGATCGCTTTAACACTAAAAACAAATATCGCCATTCGACTCAGCTTAGTGAAATACCCCAAGCTCAATATAGTTTAGAGTGACCAGTGGTCAGTTGGCCGATTTCAAGGCTTCCAGTAAAATACCGATAACTCGTCGACAGAATACGCTAGAAAGGTCGGCCTTGCGTAGATCGACAGAGAAATGTATTTGCTATTGATTGACTATATTGAAACCTATAACTGATAGCGAAATTTTTTCAGACAACTTGTGGTCAAAATATACAGAAGAAACTGACCAGCTTGACCAGATCGTAGTCAGGATAATTTAGTAAAGTTTTATTTCCCCCACATTTCTCTTTCTAATGGTGAAAACCGCAAGTCTCTAGCTATTATCGTTCTCCAGATATTCAAAAAACATCGAGGTGCATTATATTTTGGTGTCGATAATAGTTTTGTTGTCTATTTACATCACACTACCGATTATATCCCAATTAGAAGATAGTCAACTGTTTAAGTATCAAATTATCACACAAATCTACTAGTTCCATCTTATGAGACAATATAGAATTCTACTTATTTCTCATTGAAAAAATATCAGTTTTAAAGAGTAAAAATATTTCTTTCTTCGAACTCTTGTTATGTCTACAATAAATATAATAATGTTTATTTTGATGAAAAATAATTTCTTTCTTATTATTCAGGTGGTGTAAGAGAAGAGCAAGTACTTGATGCTTTTAAAATTCTTTTTAATGATAATCAAGTAAATATTTAGTTAAATGATATTATTTAAAACTATAATATTTTAAAAATAAATTTTAGGTTAAAGCTGTACTTGTCAATATATTTGGTGGTATTGTTAATTGTGCTATAATTGCAAATGGAATTGAAAAAGCTTGTAAAAAACTTGGTTTAAAAATTCCTCTTGTTGTTCGTCTTCAAGGAACAAATATGGATGAAGCTCGTCGTATACTTAATCAAAGTTCATTTCCTATTACAGCTGAAAATGATTTTGAAAAAGCTGCACAAAAAGTTTGTTCATTAGTGAAAAATACTAGCAAGTAAATCGAAAAAACAGTGACTGGCATTTCTTCTTTCGTAGATTATTTGTGCTTTTTTGTCCTTTATCTATATTTAAAAAATAAATAAAATCCTTGATAAACTCTGACAATTAACAAGTATTAATATGTTAGAATAATTTATCCACTTTTATCATACAAGAATGTTTTTGATTTTAAAGTTTTATGATAAATATTTGATGATTTTTTTTATATTTTAATATAATGTTCATACTTCATCCTTCATAATTTGCCTGCTTTTTCCTTGCAACAAACATGTACTTTATGTTGCTGGGTTTTTAGAGAACTTTAATGTCAGTTTTCATTCATGTTCAGCAAAACGATGATTTGACCTCTACCTTTTATCTAATATAACTAAAAATAATGAGCCCGTCTCTAGTCAGCTTTTATTTTTATGTTAATTAAAACCCGGTTGTTTTTCTTTGTCTTTTTTTTCACTTAATAGACAAACACGTCAAAAGTTATCATTTTCTGTTACAATGATCTCGAGAACGGAGAGTCAGAAAATGTGCCAATAGACTTTCTTGTATTGTATTACTCACCTATTGAAGAAAGTAATAGATTTGTAGGGAATCTTTTTCTGTATGGAATTCTTATATTTAAAATCAAAATTAATTATATCTCTTAGGCTCTTTACTTTTGTTAAGCTATAAATAGTAGAAGTAAAAAAGCTTATTGCAGTGCTAGCGACAGAGTGAATATGTATCTTAATAAACAAGAATGTATCAAATCAAGCTTAACATAGCGCGTTGTTCTAAGTGTCATCCTCCGTTCATATAAGGCTACGGTAATCTTTTTACTTCTGCTATTTATCGCGTAAGAAAAGGATATTTATTTATTTTGATCTTAAATATAAGAATTTCCTACGGAAAAGACTTCCTACAAATTCACGCTGTTAAAATAACTTTTACTTTCTTCGATACATAATTAAGTCAGCACAAGAACTGAATATCTGATGCCGATTGTTGTGCTCTTACTAATTATATATTGAACAATGAAATTAGCTACAAATTTTTAGGGACTACATAGAACACCAGTTGTTCTATTATATCATGTATTCTGACTAAAATTTCAACATAGAACAAGCGTCCAATAGTTGGCGAAAATAAGTGGTTGGATACTGTTTGGAGAATAAAAACTAAACAGATCAATGAATTGTTCTGACATTTTTTACTAGTATTTTAAAGGTTATAGGTTGTATTCTGATGAAAATCATATGGTTTTAGCTCATCTTTCAAGCCATATCTTTCATAAGCATCCTCGACATCAGCTGTTACAACATGTAACTGGTCGTAATCTTTTTAAGTTTATGATGATCGGAGATTATTCGTTGAATGGCGTTATTATTCAGATTAGTTTACGATTGAAATTCGTCAATTGCCATATGATGATCATCATTAATAAACTGATGAATAGATTTTGTTCGCTGGCTTGTGCTCTTGGTCTTCACAAAGCGATTTATAGCATTTTTCAACTGTTTTGAGGAATGAACCTTGGCTGTTGCAAATAAAATCTAGTGCAGTAAATCCAGAAGCGAAAGTTTTTCTTATGCAACAAAATCAGCAGTGAACAGCTATAATCGTAATTCTAGTATTATCAAACCTCCAGTCGCTCCTACAATGTAGGGTGTGGGTGTGAGAGCAGATGTAGGTTATGAGCGAAGAGAGAAGCATGAACTCTTTTCAGGATATTTATAGCCCATTTAGGTCTTCATAATGCACGTGGTCTCGACTCAAAAGCAGATAGAGATTTCTCCCTGATAAGATGACTCTT